TAAATGTTTCCTCCGCGCCCCAGGTTCCAGGAGCAAGCGCAGGCCCCAGGGTCCTGCTGGTCACCGCACTGCGGCCGGGCCGGCCGAGTACCCTGGTCAGGGAGCTGGGCAGCCGCTGCAGCCAGAGGACTCAGGCTCCTGGCCCAGGTCCAGGAAATACCCACGGCCAGAGCTAGGGCTAGATTAAGACCTTTAAGAAAAATTTTAAATTGATTCTTACAGAGAGAGAGTGAAACATCGATTTGCTGTTCCACTTTATCCTTGCATTCATTGGTTGATTTCTTGTATGTGCCCTGAATGGGGATCAACCGCAACCTTGACATATGGGGACAACACTCTAACCAACTGAGCTTCCAGGCCAGGTTAAAACCCAGGAAGTGGAAAGTTTATAGTGTCCTTTGATTTGATATCCAAAAAAAAAAGAAAGAAAAGGAAAAGAAACTCCAAGACTTATAATTTCCCCATTTGTTTGTTTTTTTAAACTTATATTAAAATGTATTTTAGCCCTGGCCGGTTTGGCTCAGCGGTTGGAGCGTGGGCCCTAAGACCAGAGAGTCTGGGTTCAGTTCCCACTAAGGTCACATACCTTGGTTGCAGTTTGTCCCCCACCCAGTTGGGATTGTGTGGGTGGTAACCAGTCGATGTTTCTCTCACTCTCTTCCCTCTTTCCCTCCCTCTCGTCTGAAGATAAATGCAAAAATGTCCTCGGGTGAGGATAAAAAAAAAATGTATTTCAAAACTTGTGCCCATGGCAAGCTCACACTGGGCCCTGGTGTTAGGTTTATCTAGCCCTGCTGTTTACTGGTTGGATAATCTGAATGAACTACTTACTGTCATTTTATTAGTAAAACCATAGAGCTTACTTTGTTAGGTGTCATAAGGACTAAGTGAGATAATTCATGGAAAGGGCTCAGTTTGGCACCTGATATATGGTGGTTGTTAATATTTCGGGTACCCTTGTGAACCACCTCCTTTTGTTCCCCTCTGGGGACAGTTTACTCCCAGTTCTCCAGGGCAGGCACACAGGGCTCAGAATGTTAACCGAGGGAGGTGGCAACGTTTCCCAAAATGTTGGGAAATTTATGACCCCAGAGTAGATAGGAAGTTGCCTTACTGTGGACCAAACATGCTTGAGAGTTGTAGCTTCTGTATTTCAAAGTAGAAACAGGAGACTGCTGAACTTTCCCGTAAGAAAATATCCCATTAGGCTGAGTGGCTTGGAAGCTTAAAAGCCCAAATAAAATGGATTTTAGGGTGTGGAGAGTGGGTTTCTAAAGCAATTCATCTTTGATAGCTCCAAGAACAAGCATTAAAAATTCTGGGCCAGCTCTTGAAGAACTTCAGCCAGACTGCCACAAATAAACTCAAGCCCAGAAGTGCTTGAGGTTTTCTAAAGAAGCATTTTTTTGTTTTTGTTTTTGCTTATGCCCCATATCTTTGTGAAATATCTTTAAGTGGTTGGCTCTGTGAAATAGCTTCATTAAACAGTTAGCTCTGCAGTTATAATCTCCAAGAGCAGGGCCATGATAGACTCTCTATGATAAGTGCTCTGGAAAGCTAGGGACTTGGAATCCTGGAACGCATTTCAGATAGGGCCCTTCTAAGGGAAGCTGCAGGATGGTGTAGTTTAGGGAGGTCTGGGGTGTTTTTGACTCCTGTGGTGAAACCTCAAGGTGGGAGGGGCTGTTCATTATGATGTGGCTCTTTCTGTTTGTTTTCCCCTGCTGATGAAGCAAACCTCCAAGCCCTTGACACTGCTTGTTACCAGGTTATGTTAACCTATTTATTTGTGAGTTACCAGACCCCGGTGAATAGAAGTGTGACCCACCCAGTGTGGCTTTACAACTAACCTGGTTGCCTTGGGACAGGTAACATCATCCCCTGGGGCCTCCATTAATTTCCTATAAAATAAGGACTTGGGTTTTATCTTTGAAGACGTTTGTAGCCTTAATGTTTATCAGCCTTTCAGGCCCCAGACTCCCAGGAACAGTAACTATATGCTTGTGCATCTATGAATCTTCCAATGTAAAATCTCTTCTCTGGTGGTCTCAGCTTAGCAAATTGATTTCAGAAGGTGAATTCACAAGAAGTCTCCCCACCAGAGACTTTACCTATGGTGAAGACCTCACAGCTGGTTTTAAATGTGGCTCTACCATGTACCATGTTCTGAGATTGGTGTGTTAGTTATCTACTGGTGCTGAAACAAGTCACCACAAATTTAGCAGTTTAGCACAACACGAAAGTATTACTCTTAAGAGTTCCCTAACTCAGAAGTTTGACTCGGCCTCACCAGATTCAAATCAAGGTGTCGGCAGGGCTTTCTGGAGGCTCTATGGGAGAATCTGTTTCCTTCCTCTTTTGGGTCATTAGCACAATTACAGTCCTTGTGGTTGGAGGACTGAAGTCCCATTTCCTGGATGAGTGTTATGTGAGGACAGTTCTTAGCTTCTACAGGCCACCTGTTTAACTCAACTTTGACACCCTGCTTCTTAAAAATCAGCGGTAGTAGGTGAAGTCCATCTCGCTCTGAATTTTATCCCCTTTCTGTTTTTACATCTCTCTGAGACTTCTGCCTTTCTCTTCCAATTAAATACAGTTACTTGGTATATAAAGTTGCCTATATTCATCTTTGGGAAAGAGAGAGATGATTTATTCTACCTTCTCCAGTTGTGTAAATTAGCTCCGCTCCTCAGCCCTCACTTTCCTTTTCTTATAAATGGAGGCAGAGATTAAAGTTGCAGCATTGTATGGAGGACTAAATACAGGTAACTTGTCACTATCACCTAGCAAACAACTGGCCATAATACACGCTAACGAAATGGAAGTTGATGCAGAAAGGTGGGCTTGCCTACTGTCTGGCATTCAGTGAGAGTGGGCCCAGAGTAGTCACGAGGGTTCTTATAAGGAGAAGAGGCCCCCAATTATTTGATCGGACTCTGCCCTTTCTGAGTTTCAACCTTTTCCTGGCCTTCAGCCAATTCCTGAGCAGCAGATGACCTCTGAAGATGTGAGAGATGACATTCCTAATCTAGAGGAGATGGAGCCTCACCCAGGAAGAGCCCCATCTGTCCGCCCGGCCAAGTTCTGGCCTGTGGGATTTAGGAGAAGAGAATGTGGAGCCTCCCTGGTGTAGAGGGGCTGTTGCCTCTTTATTTCAGGATAGGCTTAGGGGTTCCCGCTAAGGGCATGTACCTCGGTTGCAGTTTGTCCCCGGCCCTGGTTGAGTCGTGAGGGTGGCAGCCACTTGATGTGTCCCTTTCATGTCGATGTTTCTCTCTCTCTCTCTCCCTCCCACTCTATCTGAACAAAATATCTAAAAAAAAAGAGAGAGAGAAAAGAAAAAGGATAGGCTCAGGGAAGTAAGGGTGGGGTTGGGAGTTTCCTAAATCTGCTCTGCATACTTTAGACATGATAGAAGAAACAACCAACCTCGAGAGAATTTTTATGAGTTTATTTGAGCCAAACTAATAACAATTGCTAGGAAGCAAAATCTCAATGGGTTGAGAAAATGCTCCAGAGAATGGCAATTTTACAGTTTATTTTATACGCTAGAATCAAAGGAGGAGATGTAAGTGGGATTATATGGGATCTATTGGTGGTAAATTAGGGAGGCAGAAGAAAGCAAAACCGGGAAATCTCTGAGATTGGATAAAAAGTAAAACAGAGACACATACTTCTTTTACATTGGTGCGTACGGGATAATTAGTAGTTAACATTTACAGCACATAGAGATAGTATTCAGGGGAACAAGATAATGAGGAATGGTTCTGTGGGCTCATGCTCTGGTGTGGTGGATGTGCCCTGAGGGAACTGGAAAAGAGGGCTACTCTGAGATTCCAAGGGTACTTTATCTTAGATGCAAAAAAACAAGATGGGTCCTGGCTGGTTTTGCTCAGCGGTTAGTGCATTGGCTCACAGAGCAGTGAGTCACGGGTTTGATTTCGATCAAGGGCTTATATTGGCGGTTTCGGTTTGTCCTGGCCCTGGTCAGTGGTGTGTGGGAGGCAGCCAGTCGATGTGTCTCTCTCACATCAATGTTTCTCTCTCTCCTCTCTCACTCTCTCCCTTCCTCCCACTCTATCTGATGATAAATAGAAAAATATCCTCAGGTGAGGATAAAAATAAATAAAAAAATTCATGCAAATTTCAACATCTATTCCTATGTTTGTTAAAAAAAAACAACAAAAAAAAAAACAGCCCTGGCCGGTTTGGCTCAGCAGTTAGAGCATCGGCCCATGAACCAGAGAGTCCCGGATTTGGTTCCCACTAAGGGCACATACCTTGGTTGCAGTTTGTCCCCAGCTCTGGTTGGGGTCGTGTGGGTAGCGACCACTTGATGTGTCTCTCTCATGTCGATGTTTCTCTCTCTCTCTCTCTCTCTCTTCCTTCCTCTCTCCCTCCCGTTCTGTCTGAGAATAAATGCAAAAATGTCCTTGGGTGAGGATTAAAAACAAAAAACAAAAACAAAACAAACAAACAAAAAAAACAAGACGGGCTCCCTTAAGGTAAGGATTGACCTTTGTCAAGGAAGCTGCAGGCCTAGGACATGACTACCTGCCATGACCTGCTTTAGGTTAGGAAGTTTTATGTTCAGGTCATCCTGTGTGATTATGTTAGGTCTCTGAGTTTGTAAGGCCCGCCATGCAGGCCTCCCCTGAGCTTGTCAGGTTTAGTATGTGGCCCCCTTTCCATCCACAGCAATTAGAAATCTCCCTGTGTCTTGATTTCTTTAGCAGACGAGAGGAGGGTCTGAGGCATTTCAGCCCTCCCCTGATGCCCACAGCTACACTTCCAGGCTTGAATGCAATGCGTCATCAGTTACCTAGAACCTCTTTTACTTCCCGAGAGTGAACCAGGAGGTGTCCCCATCATACTCGCTAAGGTGGGGAGCCAGGGTTCCCAGCATGCTGAGCCGTTGCCTCCTGTTCTGCCGCTGAGTGCATGTTGGTGCTCTCCAGAGTCACTCGTTTGGTTGGATGCCCTTGGCGTGGCCTGCAAAAGGGGCCTACACTGGGCTCCGGCTCAGCCCACAGCACTGGGCGGAACTGCAGCGGAGCAGGCTCCTGTATGAAGTCCTTTCCTCATAGTCTCATTTGTCTGCACAAGCTTTATGGGGAAAGCAGTGCTATTCCCACTGCTCGGAGAAAGGGTCCGCGGCTATTACAGGTGAGAGCTAGGGCAGGGCCCGGGTAGTCCTGACTGTGGCCCTGTGTGCTCTGACTCCCCATAGCTGTCCCTCTCACCAGGATCAACAGCATTTCTTTTTATTAATTTTAATTTTATTACATTAATTAATTCATTCATTTGTTAATCCTCACCTGAGGATATTTTTTCCATTGATTTTTTGGAGGAGGAGGAGAGAGAGAGAGAGAGAGAGAGAAGTATTGATGTGAGAGAAAGAAACATGTGAGAGAGACACATTGGTTGCCTCCCGCATGCTCCCTGACTAAGGGCCAAGGATTGAGCCTATAACCCAGGTATGTGCCCTTGACTGGAAATTGAACCCTCAATCCTTTGGTGGGGGGACTGGGTGGGTGGGGAGTGGTGCTCTAACCACTGAGCAACACCAGCCAGGGCTCAACAGCATTTCTTCATTAAGCTGAGGTCTTAGAGCAGGAGGTGGGGGAACCAAGTGCTGCCCCACCTGAGAGCACCCCTTGGTTCATGGCACTCCAGCCTGGTAGATTTCCTGTGCTTCTTGGCCTGGTAGCTCCTTCCTGATGTCTCCCGAAGCCCCCTAGGCCTTCTAGTTCTTTTTTTTTTATCCTTACCTGAGGACATTTTTCCATTTTCTGTTCAGATAGAGTGGGAGGGAGAGAGAGGAAAAGAGAGAGAAACATCGACGTGAAAGGAACACATCGAGTGGCTGCCACCCACACAACCCAACCAGGGCCGGGGACAAACTGCAAACGAGGTACGCGCCCTTAGCGGGAACTGAACCCAGGTCTCTCTGGACCGCAGGCCGATGCTCTAACCACTGAGCCAAACTGGCCAGGGCAGCCTTCTAGTTCTTGGTCTCTGAGATAACTGGTCAGTGGTCAGTCATTTGTTGCTTCATGACAATTCTTTGTATATCTTCCTTCCAGATTCTGTAGACAATGGGAAGCAAAGGAGTGATCATCCTGCCTGGGCTCTTGCTCATCCTGTCTGTCCTCTACAATACAGGTGAGTGGTCTGGAGGGACGTGGTTCTGGACCACCTGGGCCCCTTGGCCATACACTTCCTTTTTCTGAGGCCTCAGGAAGACTGAGCTGATGCCACTGGCCTCAGCCTGGCTTTGGTTCTTTGCCTTCCAGTGTTACGGGCCCGGGTTGTGTGATAACTCCTCCTGTGTTACAGCTTTGCCCTCGGTGGAGCACCTTCCTGAGTTACAGCTATTCTGGGTTACAGAACTGTTTTTTTGGGTGGGGCATACACTCAGCAGCTTAAGTTTCACCCCTCTCACTACAAGCTGCCGGGGACACCAGTGGACACTATCTTTAGAGTGCTGAGCTCAGTCCTGCTCTGACGCTTCTGTGCTGTGATGAGGATGGGGATCTTAGTAATAGCAGTAGCAGCTAATGCTTTTAGCATCTGTGTGCTGATCACTATTCTGAACATTTCATAGGTATTTACTTATTTAATCCTCATGTCAACCCTATGGAATAGGTACTGTTTTTATCGCCATTTTACAAATGACAAGACTGGGGCCCAAAGAGATTAAATAACTTGTAAACGATGCCACAGAAGTGGCATAGCCAGAATCTGAGCCCAGAGAGCGTGGTACCAGGGCATATGCTCTTAACCCCTTCACCTCCAGGCCGCCCCTCCCTGGCTCCTGGAAGTATCTGTGTATTTCTGAGTCTTAAGCGCTATAACACTAGGAACACGTGTGATTTGCTTTGCTTCATCATAAGGATCAAGTATCATTTTCTGCCTTTGTTACGTTGGTACTACCAGTTTTTGGGAGGGGGGACAGAGAAGGAAGTAGCAATGTAATGAGCAAAAGAAAAAGATATCTTCCATGTTGGAGCATGTCTTACATACGGTAGCTTTAGTGACCACCATATATTGAATGCCTATTATGTAGTAGGGACTGTGCCCAACCCTATCTCATTTGATCCTCCCAGCCATCCCGTGAGGGGTTAGTATTGTTATATCCCTTATATGGTTGAGGAAACTGAAGCAAAGAAGAAACCAGTCCAAGGACACATTTGAATATGCTCCCCTTTCAGAGAAAAAAGAGAAATTATGACTCCCCTCCCTCCCCACCTCTGGTAATTTTATCCGGAATAGCTTGTAATGGGGTTCACTCATGTTACATCGCTATATTACCATCTGAATTCTTCTACCCGGTGTATTTTCTGTAGTTAGAATAATAAGATTGTGCCCTATTTCCAGAAGTCTGTGTATGGAGCAGATCCTTCTACCCTGGCTTAGTGGTGAAAATATCAGACAGTCAACCGCTGACTTATCGCTTGTCCCTGACCCGGGTTCCCCCCCACCCCCCCAGTTTGTGCTGTTTCCTTCTCTTCCCCACTCAGGACAATCAGAAGATTGATGTGGTTAAACCAAGCTTGGGTTTTAGAACTGGCAGCCTGGGTTTGAGTCCCAGCTCTCCCACTTAGTAGCTATGTGACTTTGGACAAGTCTGTTAACACCTTAGTCTTCATTTTCTCTTGAAAAGTGGCGATAGAGATCACTGGGCCCATGTCTTACCCCAGCTCTGTGAGGACTGAGAGAGAGCTGCGCACACAGGTGCCCAGATATGTGAGCACTGAACAAATGTGCTGGTTCCGAACGTCTCTGCCCCCCCGAAGCTCCAGACGTGAGCTTGGGTTCCTCTGCCTGAAGGTTTGTCAAGAAGCCAAATGAGCTGCAGCTCCAGCCAGGAGAAAATGCACGGTTATGGGCAGCCTTTCCGAGTGGCCCTCACGAAGAGCCAGGCTAGAACAGTACCTCCCTCTTACATGCTTTCCCCCATGTGTACACACATCTGAAGCAGAGGGGATAATAGAAAAATTGCATCTTATCCCTTCTCGCTGTGGCTCCCCGCCACGTGGCAAACACCGATATTGGGGAGAAGAGGCAGAGCGAGGTGATGGAGTCCTGCCCCAGGCATGGCAGATGCACATTGTCTGGCAGAGGCACGTGACAGGAAGAGGTCATCTCTACTTGGAAAAGGCGCGTCCACATGAATCGGGCAAATTGCCTTGCAACTCTTACGTCCCTGCCCCCCCCACAACATATGTGAACTATGACATGTCTTTTTCTTGTCACTGTTGATAGAAAGTAGAGAAGGAAAAATAATCCAGCAAACCCCGAAGTCTAGCTAGCAAAGATGAGTCCTCAGGACGCGAATGAGAGCAGAACTGGTTTTCACATCAGAGAACCAGAGGCGATTTACGTCTGACGTACCCCGACTCTTGTGTTCGGTGTCACTGCTGATGCCTGGCTGCCCACCTACCTGAATTTAAGGTGTGCAGCTGCCATCCTCCCCTTGACCGAGTGTGCTTCTGGTGATGATGGGTCAGCCCCTTGGTGGGAGCAGCTGTGGCCATGACACCATCCCCCAGAGGTGGTTGCACCTTCTTCTGTAGAGACCAGAGAGCAAATATTTGAGGCTTTGCAAGCCAAGAGCCGAAATCAAGGATATTATGTAGGCTTTTATGTAAATAATGAGAGAAAACAAATTTCTACAGCATTTTAAGTAACAAAATTTGAAATGTTATCATTGAGTACAATTGTTTGTAATACAGATCTACTAATGGGAAGAATGGAATTTGGGGGGGGGGAAGAACATTTTGCTTACTTGGGACTCAAAAGTTAGTGTTCCCTCTCATCCAGTTGGTTGTGAGTATTCATCTGTTAAAACTGATCTGTAATGAGATTGTATGTCTTTCATCTTTGAAAATGTCTTTTCACACAGATAGCTACTGCCAAATATTGAGTATTAATCCATGAAAATGACTTCGTAGAGCATATTCATTGCTCGGAAGGCATTTATAGAATTCTGTTAGCTTATTCTCTTGATAGTGTTTCCTTTGAATATAGCATTACATTGCAGATTAATCACTTCCAGTCGAAGTGATTAATTGAACCGTTACATGGATTTGCAAATATGGAAATGTCCTTTTGCACTTGCATCGGGGTCTAAAAAGTGCTGCTGGAACTGCAGTTGGGGCTGGGAGGAATCGATCTGCTGCAGGTCTGTGTGGGAATGGAAGCATGCTGACCTCTGCCTCACAGTCATGAGGATGGGCAGTGGGCAAGTCAGTGCTGGTCTTTCAGGTTCTGACGGGTTTTCTCCCTGACTCTAGGTCACGGCCTGCAGTGCTACACCTGTCTCAACCCAGGTGGAGAGTGTACTCTCTCCAGAAACTGTACACCTAATTTTGATGCCTGTCTCTTTGTCAAAGCCGGTAAGAGCCTCCCCTTTCCCCTCGCCTGAGTGTAACGGGATGATGAGGGCCTGGAAGAAAAATTATGCCAACTCTACTCCTCATTAGACTTGTATTCAACAAGTACTAGCTACCATTTAATAGCATCAGCTACATGTAGCACTAAACTTTTTTTTTTTTTAATCCTCACCTGAGGACACTTTCCCATTTTTTGTTCAGATAGAGTGGGAGGGAGAGAGAGGAAGAGAGAGAAACATCAACGTGAAAGGGACACATCGAGTGGCTGCCACCCGCACGACCAACCAGGGCCGGGGACAAACCGCAACCGAGGTACATGCCCTTAGCGGGAACCGAACCCGGGTCTCTCTGAACCACAGGCCGACGCTCCAACCGCTGAGCCAAACCGGCCCGGGCTAAACTTTTCATATATTTTAAATGTAATGCTTCTCACCTACCACTTGGGGTAATATTTTAGTCTCATTTGATGAATGAGGAAACTGAGGTTCAGATTAAACAACAGACTAAGGTCAAGTAACCAAGCCAGGATTTGAATGTGGGAATCCATCTATTCCGATGGTGATTCTCTTAACAGTGGTGCTGGCTGCCTCCCAGTCTTACGAGCCTCCCGTGGGTCCGAGTCTGAGCTGGGGGCGAGGGAAGCAAAGAGGAAGAAAGGAGACAACATTATGATAGAGGCCTGTTTACTAGCGCTCAGAAATGGGAAGGGGGAAGAGTGTTCCTGAGTGTGACAAAAGCCAGTACCAAGGTTTGGTGGCCTCAGGGAGCAGGGCCCTCAGGGACACCGGTGGGGGACTGCTAACATTGACAAGTCCTATAAAACGGAGTTTCCCACATTGGTGAGACTCCAGACTTTCTGCCTCCATAAATCCTATTATTTAGGAAATGGTTGACAGGAAAGAAACCAGCAGAGGTGTGGCCTCCGTTCTGGCTGCATTGAATATGTGTGTGGAAATGGTACTAGTGAGTAATGGCTATTTCTGGGTCTCCAAGCTAGGTAATGTACAAGGAACTTCTCCCCCCAGACTCACATCTCTAAGAGATAAAAATAAAAATGCCCTTTGAGCCCTGGCTGATTTGGCTCAGGGTTTGGCCCTCGGACCAAAGAGTCTTGGATTCGATTCCGGTCAAGGGTACGTACTTCGGTTGCAGTTTGGGGTCGTGGGTGTGGCAGCCAATCGATGTGTGTCTCTCACGTCGATGTTTCTTTCTCTCTCTCTTCCTCTCTACCTCTCTCTCTCTCTCACCCACTCTCTCTGAAGATGAATGGAAAAAAAATGTATCCTTGGTGAAGATTAAAAAAACAACAATGATCTCAATCCATATAGAAATGTGTAAATGAAGACTAGTCTTTTGTGAAAGTAACATTATTAAGTTACTTGGGAGCCCTTCTACAGAAAAATTGATGCATTGAGCCTCATAATACACTTTATTTACACAAGTGGGTCACATTCTACATGCAGTTCTGCATCTAGGCTTTTTTCTATTAAGATATACCTCACGCCCTGGCCGGTTTGGCTCAGCGGTTAGAGCGTCGGCCTGCGGTCTGGAGAGACCCGGGTTCGGTTCCCGCTAAGGGCATGTACGTCGGTTGCAGTTTGTCCCCGGCCCTGGTTGGTCGTGCGGGTGGCAGCCACTCGATGTGTCCCTTTCACGTCGATGTTTCTCTCTCTCTCTCTTCCTCTCTCTCCCTCCCACTCTACCTGAACAAAAAATGGAAAAATGTCCTCGGGTGAGGATAAAAAAAAAAAAAAAAAAAAGATATACCTCACAAAACAGAAAATGTACATTTTAAAGTATACAGTTCAGTGGCTTTTTAGTATGTGCACATTTGTGCAACTATCACCACTTTCTAATTCCAGAACATTTTAATCACCCCAAAAGGAAACACCTTACCCATTAGCAATCATTGCCCATTCCTCCCTCCCACATACCTTGGCAGCTACTAATCTACTTTCTCTCTCCATGGGCTTGCCTATTCTGGGAATTTAATATAAATGGATTCACACATTATTGTGGTCTTTTTCAACTGGCTTCTTTCAACAGTGAACCCTTTCACTGAAAATAACGTTTTTAAGATCCACTCATGTTGTTGCATGTATCAGTACTTCATTATTTTTTATGGCTGAATAAAAAGTTTTATTGTGTGGATATACCAGTTTGTTTATCCATTACTATCTGGGACATCTGGGTTGTTTACACTTTTTTAGCTATTTTGAATAATGCTGCTGTGAACATTTGTGTACAAACTTTTATGTAAACAGTTTTCAATTTTCTTGGGTATATATAACTAGGAGTGGAATTACTAGATCATATGGTAACTTCATTTTTAACATTTTGAGGAGCTGTCATAAATTTTCCAGTGTATCTGCACCATTTTGCTTTCCCATCAGCAATGTTTGAGGGTTCCAATTTCTCTACTGCCTTGCCAACACTTGTTATTTTTTAGTTTCTTGGTTATGTCCATCCTAAGTATGAAGTGATTTTTATTGTTTTTTATTAAATTTTTATTTTTCAATGACAGTTGACATTCAAGATTATATTATTTTCAGGTGTACAGCCTAGTGGTTAGACATTTATATAGCTTATGAAGTGATCCTCCCATAGTCTCGCACCCACCTGACACCATACATAGTTATTACAATATTATTGACTGTATTCCCCATGCTGTACTTTACATCCCTGTGACGATTCTGTAACTGCCAATTTGTACTTTCTCAAGATTGCTGGGGCTATTTGAGGTCTTTTGTGGTTCCATATAAATTTTAGAATTATTTGTTCTAGTTCTGTGAAAAATGCTATTGGTATTTTGATAGGGATTACATTGAATCTATAGATTACTTTGGATGGTGTGAACATTTTAATGATTTAAATCTTCCTGTCCTTGATCACAGCATCTGCTTCCATTTATTTGTATCTTCAGTTTCTTTCTTCAGTGTCTTATAATTTTCTGAGTACAGGTCTTTTACCTTACTGGTTAAATTTATTACTAGGGTAGTTAACTTTTTTTTTTATGCAATTGTAAATGGGGTTGTTTTCTTAATTTCTCTTCCTGATAGTTCATTATTGGTGGATAAAAATGCAACCAAGCCTGGCTGGTGTGGCTCAGTGGATTGAGCATTGTCCTATGGACTGAGAGGTCCTGGTTAGATTCCCAGTCAGAACACATGCCCAGGTTTCAGGCTCAATCCCCAGTAGGGGGCGTGCAGGAGGCAGCCTATGGATGTTTCTATCTCACATTGATGTTTCTATCTCTCCCTTCCTCTCTCTCTAAAAAATTAATAAAAACCTATTTTTAAAAAGTTAAAAATGCAACAATTTCTGTATATTAATTTTATATCTAGCAACTTTACTGAATTCATTTATCATTTCTAGTAGTTTTTTGGTGGAATCATTATGGTTCTCTACATGTAGTATCATGTCATCTGCAAATAATGATGATTTTATGTCTTCCTTTCCAATTCATAAATCTTTTTTGAAAATATGTTTTTATTGATATTTTAGAGAGAGAGGAAGGGAGAGAGAAATACAAACATCAGTGTGAGAGAGAAACATCCATCAGCTGCCTCCTACATGCCTCTACTGGGGACTGAGCCTGCAACCCGGGCATGTGCCCTGACTGGGAATGAAATCAAACTGGGACCTCTCAATCCATGAGACAATGCTCAATCCACTGAGCCACACCAGCTGGGTGAATTCATAAATCTTTTATTTCTTTTTCTTGTCTGATTACTGTGGCTAGGATTTCCAATACTATGTTGAATGGAAGTGGTAAAAATGGACATCCTATCTTGTTCCATGTGTTAAGGAAAATGTTTTAGTTTTTCCCTGTTGAGTATGTTAGCCATGGGTTTGTCATATATGGTTTTTATTATGTTAAGGTGTGTTCCTTCTATTTCCACTTTGCTGAGAATTTTTATCTTAAATGAATGCTGGATTTTGGAAATGCTTTTTCATCATCTGTTGATATGATCATATGATTTTTACCCTTCAGTTTGTTTATGTGGTATATTATGTTAATTTATTTGTGGATATTAAACCTACCTTGCATCCCAGGAACAAATGCCATTTGATCATGATGTATGATCTTTTTAATGTATTGCTGAAATTAGTTTGCTAATTTTTTTTTTCTTTTTTTTATATTATTTTTTATTTAATTTATTTATTTTTGTTACAGATGTTTCTTCTTGATTCAGTATTGGAAGATTGTATATTTCTAAGAATTTGTTCATTTCTTCCATGTTGTCCAGTTTGTTGGCATATAATTGTTTATAGTATTTTCTTATAATCTTTTGTATTTCTGTGGTGTCAGCTGTTGCTTTTCTTTTGTTTCTGATTTTATTTATTCTAGTCTTGTCTTGATAAGTCTGGTTAAAGGTTTATCCATCTTATTTATCTTATCAAAGAACCAGCCCTTGGTTTCATTGATCTTTTGTATTGTTTTTTAGACTCTGTTTTATTTATTTCCTCTCTGATCTTCATTATTTCCTTCCTTCTACTCACTTTGGGCTTTGCTTGTTTTTCTTTTTCTATTTTCTGTAGGTGTCGGGTTAGATTGTTTGTTTGAGGTTTTCCTTGCTTCCTGAGGTAGGCCTGTTTTGCTATGAATTTCCCTCTTTATATCCTTAGTTCTAGGAGCTCCATTCAGCTAGTTTTCAAAAAGATAGTTGTCCAGGGTGTTTGTTCTATAATTTAGTTGTAATTTTGATGTGGTCATGGGAAGAGACAAACAAAGCATTTATCTATTCCACTATTCTGACCAGAATTTCTCATTGTGCTTATGATTTATATTTTCCTACTGACTAATGATATTGTGCATCTTTTTATGCACTTATTGGCCATTTGTATATCTTCTTTGGAGAAGTATCCACATTTTTTGCCCATATTTTAGTTGGTTTATTTGCCTTTTTATTGCTGAGTTATATTTTATATATTATGACCAGACTCTTATGTCAGATATATGATTTGCATACATTTTCTCCCCTTTTTGTATTTTTTGTTTTGTTAATCCTCACCAGAGGATATTTTTCCATTGATTTTTAGATAGAGTGGAAGGGAGGGAGGGGAAGAGAGAGAGAGAGAGACATCAATGTGAGAGAGACACATCGATTGGTTGCCTCCTGTAGGTATCAAACCTACAACCCAGGTATATGCCCTTGACTGGGAATTGAACCCAAGACCCTTCCATACATGGGCCTATGCTCTAACCACTAAGCCAAACCAGCCAGGGCTATGTATTTTTTGGATAGTGTTCTTTGAAACACAAATGTTTTTGATTTTGATGAAGTCCAATTTATCTGTTTTTCTGCATTCTTTTTTTTTTTTAAACTCAGGCTCTTCCACACCAACACCTGCAAGCCTATGTCATTGTTATCTGTATGGAATATCATTGTGTGGAACTCTACCATAATTTCTTCAAACATATTTTTTATTACTGGGCTGGTTTTATAGTTTATTGCTGTTACAGATAGTATTGCAATGACTGTTTGGGGGCATATATCCTAACCCTTTTTATAAGTAATATCATAAAGTAAAATCTAGAAGTGGAATTGCTGGATCAGTGTGGGCATGTGTTTAAAATTTTTGGTAAATCTCTTAAAACATCCTTAGATTGCCTGTTGCCTCCCCTCCACACACAATCTTACTGGCTCTGAAGAGACTGATTTTATGGAAAAGTTCCATTTAGAGCTGAATCATCATTTACTTAACTGTTCCTCTTTACAACCCAACTGGGATGCACATTCTTGCCCGAATGTCTCTACTTCTACAGTGTATGTTCCAAGAAGTAGACTTGAGGGTTCAAAGGCAGGTACAGAACTTGACCCACTTGTTTGCTTACCTTGTGTATGTTTTTTTCCACAGAGACACGAACATACTACCAGTGTTGGAAGATGGATGATTGCAACTACCTCACCCTTTCAAAATACTTAGGAGAGAAGACTCTAGAGTATCGCTGCTGCCAGAAGAACCTGTGTAACAAAAGTGGTGGGACAGTTATAACAGGGACCACAATTCTCCTGGTGACTGAGCTGCTCACAGCATTCTGGAAATTTATCTAAATCAATACCAGGAGAGATTCTCCTAAATTCCCTATTTCTGTGTATTCCTTATTTCCTTTGCTGCCACAAAAGCTTTATATCTTCTAACTGGATCCTGTTGGGAAAGACTAAAACTAGCTTGAGCAACTGGGATAAGAGAGAGGGACTCAGAAACATGAAGACCAGTCCTACTTGCCGAGAAGGCCCACTTGAGGGAAGACGTTTAAGAGTGAAGCACAGATGATGTGAGCTAGGTTACATGCTTCCTCCTCTGCTCATGGCAGTGACAGCTTGACTAGATTGTCTGCGACCGTCATTTACTTCCCCTCATGCTCCTAGGATGTAGTTAAATAGTATGATCAGTGCTTTTGGGGGGGAATGGGGCAGAGGTGTTCTTTTCAACAATCTCTCTCACAGGGAATGCTTTCATCCTCTCCTTTTATGACCCCTGTGTTGCCACGTAGGCATGACGAGTGTTCCAGATGTGGGCTGTCAGGGGCAACAAGATTTTAAATGCAGAGTGATTGGGATGACTGTTATATTCTCAACTAGAAGGTATCTGGCAGAGTAGGAGGTAAGTTTTCCAGGGAGCAGGGTGTAGAAACACCAGGTCTGTCTTTGGAGAGGTACTAGGGGCTGAAATCTGAATTTTCTTCTGTCCCTAAATTTTGTATGGGCTTTGCTGTCTTTCTCTAGAAAAACTTAACCACATAAATTAATGGTGTGTTAAAACTATTCCCCTCCTGCCCTGGCCGGTTTGGTTCAGCGGTTAGAGCATTGGCCTGCGGTCCAGAGAGACCCGGGTTCGGTTCCCGCTAAGGGCATGTACCACAGTTGCAATTTGTCCCCGGCCCTGATTGGGTCATGTGGGTGGCAGCCACTCAGTGTGTTTCTTCATGTTGATATTTCTCTCTCGCTCGCTCTCTTTTTTCCTTGCTTTCCCTCTTGCTCTATCTGAACAAAAAAATTGAAGAATGTCCTCGAGTGAGGATAAAAAAAAAAGCAAAGAAACAAACCTATTCCCCTCCCTTTATCACTGGAGTTTTGCTTTGTCACACACAGTCCAAGACTAAATATTTGAACATTCTGTGCTACATGTGATTTACAGTATTATGTGCTTATTTTAAATATTATGAGTAGAAATACCCTTAAGTGTGTTTCTGTTGTATGAATGCAATGGGAAAAGCCTTTGGGGTTGCAGTTTGAGACCGTCAAATATCATCATGAGCATCAACAGGTCTGCAAGGATGTTTCATCTGCTGACATCAAGCCTGTTGACTCCTAGCTAACTTGGCACAGACTGTGTGAAATTCATTTGTAAAGGCTATTAGCACACTCAAAAATGTTGAGACTTTCAGAAGCTCTGCCAAGTCTCCTAAAAAGTGATACTCTTTTTTAGGAGGGCAAAGTTTTGCTTTTTTCTTGTGGGTGCTGGCAAATAATTTCTCAAGAACCAGTAGACTTCATGACATTTATATTCTTATAATCTTGGTTGCATTTAATAGCACAGCCTGACTTTTGCAGATGAAAGTGGGATTTCTTAATGAACATTTTTTTAAAAGAGCCTCGATTATGTAAGCTGGGAGATAAAGTGGAATGAATAACACGTTTTTGAAAATAAAATCTAATCAAATGCATGTGTCTGGTCATTGGCCCAGAAGGATAGCAGCAAAAGCAACGCAATGAAAGAAGAGATGGTGGGGGGTACCAGTTTTCTTCTTTTGATGCCATAGACAAATCAAGACTTCCTCAGTCAGACCTAGCATTCCCGTGGTGCTCTGTGTGTTCTGCTAGCCCAGTGTTTTTCCTTACATCATCTTTAATTCTGTTCCAAGACAAAACAGTAGGTGTGACTTTTTCCATAACAGGGCCTTTTCTGCCCAAACAAGTACTGACCATGCCCACAGCCACTAGCTTATAGGGTTATACACCATAAAACTTTTATTTGTCTAAACTAAAGCTTCCTATTTATGCACACTTATATTATGTTGGAATAAAACAAATGACCATTGGGTTTCCAGGTGGGTGTCTATGTGGATGTGTCATAGGTAAGGATGTTTTCCTCAGCAGCTGAATGGGTCCAGAGCCTCTGGGACAGGTTGGGGGACAGCATGCACCCTACAAAGGGTGTGTGCACTAAACTAGGGATCAAGATTCTGGGACTGGGGTGGGGGGCTTTTTTTCTTTGACGAGCTCCCCAGGGGTGCTGCCATTCCCTTCCTTGCTTTTCTTGGCTGCATGCAAGTTAGCCAACCCCGGTATGTTGGTCGTGTCCATATACAACTAGTGCTCATGCCGGCCCAACTCACCCCACCCAGTCTGGCTGTAGGTTTTACATCAATCAATGTCAGTCGACCTAAAATATTGGTGATACGGCCCTTGCTGGAATGTGCTGCTGTGATGTGGTGTTATGGCCAGAGCTGGAACTACGCATTATAATTCATAAACTCGACTAGTGTAGCTAAAATGGGACCTGGCGCTAAGTTTTTCAACAGGGAATGTAGTGGTCACAACTTGAGGGCTTACTGGGCACCAGGCACTATTTGAAGCCCTTATTTTTCCCCATAACCATGACTATCGTATTGCCCATCCCCAAACCGATCAGTGTTTACAAGTTACCATCCCCTGCCCGTCTCACCGACGGACTGTGCCCGGGCAGCTCCCGGGGCGTCAGCAAGGTCTCTCCTTACCATAACTCCCTCAGACCTTTTGTGTCACTTGGACTAGTTTGAGAAAGTTTCTGTCCTTTGTAACTAAACATTCTTGACCAAGGTAACTACTAGTGAGAAGAGTCCACTGATGATTGCTAACTAAGCCACTCTTTTCCCTGAGCTACGGGAAGACGTTAAAAACACTAATGATTGGAATGAAGAGAACGTGTATATGATGTGAATAAAGTAAGCTTTGAGGTTTTAACTGCAGGTTTACAATAAGATCTCCCCACAACAGACTTTTACTTCAACGAAGTACATTTATAGCACAATTGTAAAGGGCCCTTTTTCATGCCCCTGTCACCGACTAGCTCTGAGGCCTTGCACATACTACTTCACCACTCTGACCCTCTGTGTCATCATCAGCTGTAACAGTGGTGCCTATCATAGTGGACATTTGATTTTTTTTTAACCCACAACTTTATTTTATTTTATTTTTTTTATCCTCACCCAAGGACATTTTTCCTTTTTTTGTTCAGGTAGAGTGGGAGGGAGAGAGAGGAACAGAGAGAGAGAGAGAGAAACATCGATGTGAAAGGAACACATCGAGTGGCTGCCACCCGCACAACCGACCAGGGCCGGGGACAAACTGCAGCCGAGGTACATGCCCTTAGCAGGAACCGAACCCGGGTCTCTCCGGACCGCAGGCTGACGCTCTAACCGCTGAGCCAAACCGGCCAGGACAACCCACAACTTTATTTTTTATTTTTTGTTAATTCTTACCTGAGGATATTTTTCCATTGGTTTTTAAATAGAGTGGAAGGGAGGGAGGGAGGGAGGGAGGGAGGGAGGGAGGGAGGGAGGGATGGATTACTGTGATAGAGACACATTGATTGGTTACCTCCCACATGACCCTGATGGGCCAGAGATCGAACCTACAACCCAGGTACATGTCCTTGACTGGGAATTGAACCTGAGACCTTTCAGTCCTCGGGCTGATGCTCTAACCGCTGAGCCAAACTGACCAGGGATGAACATTCGATTTTTAGCCACTTGGCCTCTGTTCCCACTCCCTCTGATAACAGAACCATAATTATCTGTTGGGGAATCACTTCCACCCTATAAATGCAGTCTTGGTGGGACTTTGTTAATGAAGGTGGTCTACCCTCCTCCAGCCAAAAGATGGCTAAGGTCTCTTCTGGAATTGAAGACTTGAGTGGAGTTATACAAGGACTGAAAAATATGTTTTGGTTGAAGCTGTGAATCTCTCAGGAAGCCTACAAGTAACAGGCAACTCAACTTAGAGTATCTTGATCAGATACAGTGTGATTGTCTCGCATAAACGATCTGAAGATAGCAGCTGGCACTGCTTCCGCTGCTTAACAGCGTCTTGGTGGATGGGTCTGTGATATTCTTGGTCTTTTCCTCGTGATCACAAGGTGACTGCAAAGTCCCAGCATTGCACAGGTTCAAGGCAGGAGGAGGGCGAGAAGGTAAAGCTTCAGTTGTCTCTGTCCCTCTAAATTAATAAAGTCAAATATTTCCTGGAAAGCCCTGGCTGGGTTGCTCAGTGGTTAGAGCATCGGCCAGTGGACCAAATAGTCATGGGTTTGATTCTGGCCAAGGGCACAGAATCGGTTGAGGTCGTCCCTGGCCCTGGTCAGGGTTGTGTGGGAGACAACCAGTCGATGTGTCCCTCTCCCATCAATGTTTCTCTCCCTCTCTCCCTCTCCCTCTCTCCCAGTCTACCTGAAAATAAATAGAAAAATATCCTCAGGTGAGGATTAAAAAAATAAAATTCTCTGAAAGCTTCCAGCTATTTTCTGGCCATATCTTCTGGCTAGAAATGTCTCATGGTGACCCCTAGCTGAATGGGAGACTAGCAAAGCCACTATTTTGTTTTTCCAGCCCCTGTAGGGGAAGGTTGCAGGGACAAGGATTAAAAATAGTCATTGAGCCCTGGCCAGTTTGGCTCAGCAGTTAGAGCGTCGGCCTGCAGTCCAGACCCGGGTTCGGTTTCCGCTGAGGGCACGTACCTCGGTTGCAGTTTGTCCCCGGCCCTGGTTGGTTATGCAGGAGGTAGCTGTAAGGTAGCCAGGCGCCGCCGGTGGGAGGTGGGAAGAAACCGAAGAGCCAAACAGTCGAATAAGCAGAAATCAGGCTTTATTGGGTACACTCCGGGCGGGTTCACAGACTCCGGGGGTCGAGTCCGAGAAGCTGCGCCCGATGCTGGGGTTTGTGATTTTTATATCTGCGCCTGTGGCAGCGGGAACTTGTTGTTCAGGTTAAGTCCTGAGGGGCTACGCATGGGGGCCCCTGGAATGTGAGTCTATTGTCCCGGAGCAAACAGTTCCTGGACTAGGACAGGAGAATGGGACAGGAGTTGATCTATGAGTTCCGGGCAAACAGTTTCTGAAACAGGGTGGGAGTCTAGGTTGGGTAAGCGAGATAATGGCTGAACAGTTTGCCTGGCGCCAGTTCCCAGGCTATTGGACAGTAGCCACTCGATGTGTCCCTTTCACGTCGATGTTTCTCTCTCTCTCTCTTCCTCTCTGTCTAAAATCAATAAAGGAAAAAAAAAGTGACTTTAAAAAAAGTCATTGAGAACAGCCAGCCAACTGAAGAGACTGTTGATTCCTTCCTGCTACCCGGATTCCTAAAGTTGCCCTGGTCTCTGCACCCCCTACACCCAATTCTCAAGCTTTCAGTTCCATACACTGTCATTGCCCTTTGTATAAAATCTTAGTATCACCCTCTGTTGCTTGTGAGCAGAAAAGCAGACCTACCCTCTAAGGGTTACCGCCAGGATAATTTGAGAACACATTATAGTAAGTGGTCAAGTACATGTGAGCTACAGTTATGTTACTCCAGGTTGCACAGCTAATCATGCTGGCTGATGAGATTTAAACTCAGCTCTCACCTTCCAAGCCCCTGCACTCTCCAGTCCACCAAACTGCCTCCCAAGCGTCAGTTTATTTTTCAATGTGCTCACTCTGCAAGTGCGTGGGAATACGTCTGCCAAGGGAAGCAAGGATAAGGGCGCGGCTGCATTTTTTAGAAACTTTCTTGAAACAGTGGGTGTTGTGAAGGGCAGTGGAAATGCTTAGGCTGTCATCTCCTGACCGATACAATGGTTAATTCAGATGAATAATGAAAGACTGGTGCTCCCCAAATAGCCAAACCATTGAATTGTGACACAAACAACTTCTAATTAAAGCCAGCCCTCTGTCAACAAGCCAGCATACTTGCAAGCGACCTTGCCCACGGGAGCCTTGGGAACTGTGGGGAAGTTTAGGAGAAAGTGGCCAAGAAGCTGAATACTGGGGTCAGCCTGTCTATCCGGAATTCCAGTTCTGATGCTAATTAGTCCCAAGACCCCGGACAAGTTACGCAACCTCGTGTGCCTCAGAAAATGGGGATAACATCTACAGCTGAGGGGTGCTGAAATGATAAAATGAGTTAAGACAGTGCCTGGCTCGCAGTAGCCTCTCTCCTTTTAATATCACTGTTTTCACCCCGGGCAGTTTGACTCAGCAGTTAGAGCGTTGGCCCTCGGACCAAAGGGTCTCGGGCTTGATCCCTGGGCCTGGTCGGGGTCATTCGGGAGGCAGCCCCTCGATGTGTCTTTCTCACATCGATGTTTCTCTTTCTTTCTCTCCCTCCCTCCCTTCCGTCCACTCTATGTAAAAAATCAATGGAAAAATATCCTCAGGTGAGGATGAACATAAATAACAAACAAAAAGATATCACTGTCCTCAGCAGGACAACAGGTAATCAGCTAATGAGCTTCCAGGACGGAGGGCTCGCTAGATTAGCTGGAGTGGGTTTGGTGTTCAGGGAGGGACACTGCAGCCCCTGCTCCACTTTCCTCATCAAGTCACCAGGGTTCATGGTGCTAATGCAATCCATGTGTGATTGTTCAATAATAATCACAGTCACACTTTATGGAGCACCTACTATATGTGTCCCAGGATTTGCCAATACATCAGCCTTGTGAAGTAGATTTGTCTTCATTTTATAGCTCAGAAAACTGAAGTTCAGAGTGCTGACATGACTTTCCCAGAGTCGCAGAGTCCTGGATTCAAACATGACTTTTGTCTTAGTATGTTCAGGTGGCTATAACAATACCATAGACAGGGTGGCTTAAACAGCAAACATCGATTTCTCACAGTTCTGGAGGCTGGAAACTCCAAGATCAAGGCTCCAGCATATTGGTGTCTGGTGAGAACCCATTCCTGGTTCACAGATGGTGGTCTTCTCACTGTGTCCTCGCACCGTGGAGGGGGCAAGGGAGCTCTCTGGAGTCTCTTTACAAAGGGCACTAATCCCACCCGAGGGCTCTGTCCTCGTGACTTAATCACCTCCCTAAGGCCCCACCTCCTAATACCATCACATTGGGGCTTAGGTTTTCAACATATGAATTTTGGGGGGGACGACACAAATATTCATTCCTTAACAACTCTGCTGTATTCTAAGACGCAAGCTCTGTGTGTTCCTAAAAGCTGTCTGGAGCCAAGGCAGGCATGGTGGATTGTGACATACCCCTAAAGAGGCAGAGAATCTGGTTAAGGTGTGACCACTGGCATTCCATCTAGATGCAGAGCTATGCCCTGGCCTGTTTGGCTCAGCGGCTGGAGTGTCAGCCTATGGGCCAGAGAGTCCCTGGTTCGGTTCCCTCTAGGGGCACATACCAAAAAAAAAAAAAATAGATGCAGAGCTAAAGTGATGCAGGGGAAGTGGGACATCCAGGGAAGCAAGTGTAGGCAAACCCAAGTTCATATGCCCAATACGCAGGAAGACTAATCACTATGCAACAAGGAACATGTGTGTTTTTGAGAGGCAGCCAAACAAGGAGACAGGGAGAAAGCCCAATTTTGTCTCCTTGAGAGGAAAAAGACATGGAGTTTTAAGGGATTTGAAAGGGAACTTTACATGCGAAGGGAGAGGAACGAAGTGATTCTGAATCTGATAATGGAATACTACTCAGCTATAAGATAAAATACCGCCATTTACAACAACATGGATGGATCTTGAGCGAAATAAGTAAGATGGAAAAAGTCAAGAACCCTATGATTTCACTCATATGTGGGACATAAAACAAAGCAACAAATGAACAAACAACTGGGAAGCAGACAAAGAAGAGGGTTCAGTGAGAAGGCTTGTTAGAGGCAATTCCCCAGGGTTGTGGGAGAGTCTGGAAAAAGGGACACTGTTATGGATTTGTAATACATCTGAAGGAGAGTGTCTTCAATGAGATGCAGTTTGGTTCTTTTCCCAACACATTCACTGTCAGGAGCTATCAGGCAACAGGAAATGCTAACAACTGAAAGGAAATCCTGGGAACCTGTCTCAACTAGCCACTTCTTTTCCTTCCGAGTGATGTAGCCGTACATTACAGGGGACACACCTAGTTCCCTTATGTGAGCAGCCAGGGCTAGTAAGACTGAGGGGAGGCAAATTTCCTTGACAGCCTCCACCTAAGGATCATTCCTGGGAAGGAACAAAGATGGATAGGGACCAGTTTAGGCTGCCAGCAAAGGGAGTCAGATGTTCAAGCTGGATGTCTTTGGGCAAGTTGTTTGACTTTTAAGTCGGTTTTCTGTAAAATAGAAATAAGAGGTACGGGCTGCCTCATACAGTTATTTGTGATGACCAGACAGAAGACAGAGCAGTGTGTGTGGAGCACGTGTAAACCTAGAAATTCTGTCCAAATGGGGGAGGGGGGACCTATTCCCACTGAGGGGCTTTTCTTTCCATACTTAGCTGGACCAAGCCCAAAGAGCCGATAATACTGGGCATATAATAGGACACAATAAATATTTGGGAACTTTAAAAAAGTGTTATGTGTTGTGGGAACTGAAAGGGATCACATGAGGATTATTTTAAATTGAAGGCAGCTGAGATGAAGACTCAGGCGGAACTCTCGACGGAGTTTTTTATGCCTAACATTAGGGCATAAAAACAATTCCTTCCTATAAAAGGAGAGGAAAACGCAAGAACATTTTCTCTTGCAGTTCTGGCCAGCTCCCGGCTTCGTGCTTTTGTACGATGTCAGGCTTGTGGAATTTAGGGGCGGTGGGAAGAGTCGAGGGGCCGAACCCCGCTTGGGGCTGGAAGGGTGGGGTGCTGTGGTTCAGTGGATGAGAAGATCCCTGGGCAAAGCGGAAACCGAGGGGTGGGCCCCGCATGAGGGCGCACCTACGGGTTTCCACACTCTGGTCTCTCCAAGGGCCTATTTCACCCCAGGGGCGCGGCCTGCCGTCAGCGGGCGGGGCCAACCCTGGGGCGTGGCCAACCAGACCTTAGAACCCCGCTTGTTCGGGGCGGGGCTAAGGCGAAAGGGTGGGGCCGCGCTCCCTGGGGCGTGGCCTGTGGAACCTCAGAATCCTGGCCACTCGAGGCTGGCGCGCGTCTCCCGGCACGGGGTTCCTCCCACGCAGACTCCCATTCAAAAGATGCCGAAGGGGCGGCGCGGCCGCCAGAGCCCCACGATGAGCCAGCGGCCAGCCCCGCCCCTCTATTTCCCCTCCCTCTACGATCGTGGTATCTCCACGTCCCCTCTTAGTGACTTCAACATCTGGAAGAAGCTCTTTGTGCCGGTGAAGGCGGGTGGGGCGGCGGGGGGCCGGTCCCTGCCCCAGGGGCCCGCGGCCCCGATGCCCCCGCCGCCGCCACCGGGCCTGGGTCCCCCCAGCGTGCGGCCCTGGCCCTCGCCCTGGCCCTCTGGCCTGGCCTCCATCCCCTATGAGCCTCTGCGCTTCTTCTACTCGCCGCCGCCCGGGCCCGAGGTGGCGGCCTCGGCCCTGGCCCCTGGCCCCACGACCTCCCGGCTCGTCTCTGCCTCCCACCCCGAGGAGCTGTGCGAGCTGGAGATCCGTATTAAGGAGCTGGAGCTGCTCACCATCACTGGGGACGGCTTCGACTCCCAGCGCTGTGCGTGACCTCCCCGGGGCCTCCGAGCCCACCCTCAGCTTGCCTGGACTCCCTCCTTGGCCCCAGCCGCCTCTATCCCCCGACCCGCAATGTGGCCTCGGGCTCAGACTCCAGCACCCAGCACTCCCAGATCCCAAGTCAATCCTCCAGAACCCAGACATCCCCATCCTGGATTTCAACCTACTCTTTTCTCCAAACTCCATCCTCCGTTCTGAGCCCTTTTGATAATCTGGACTCCGAGCCCCCAAACTTGGAACTCCATCCACCACAACCCCTCTCCTGAACTTTAAGCCTCTTGAACAGTAATACTACTACCCCTGGAGCTCCACCCACCACCAACAGCCCCTTTCTCTAGAGACCTGAGATTTAGTATTATTTATCTTAAACTGGGGTCCTCCTGATGGGAGGTGGGGGAAGTAGGTGAGGGTCAGTTGGAGTGTCTGTAGGGGCAGATGGGAAATATGCAAAATCCAGGAGGCCCAAGGACATTCACTGAGGGGCTTTGAGACTCTCCACTTCTCAATGCTGGAAGGTAGCCTGCCTGTGACAAGCCCTCCACCCTCACTCCACCCTTGTAGCCCTCTCACCAGGGTCCTGGACTCTACCATCTGATCTTAGGTCTCAAGTCTTAGGGGTCTTACTTAATCAGGACAGAGCCGGTGTGCTGATGTGGGTGGGATTCCTCTAGCATGCAAGTTGACGAGCCCTCCCTGTAGGAGAGTAAAATTAAGTCCAATTCTACTCCCAGAGGACCTATTGCACTGTACAATATTTGGTAGCTATAGGCTGTTCTGCAGACTTTGTCTTTCCCATCACCCATTCTGACTAAGGCTAGCACTTGACCACTGAAGGAGGGCAGATTGTTCTAGAAAGACCATCCCCATTATTCTATAAAACAGGTAAAATTGGCCCCCTTCCCACACAGGGAAGGGGGGTATGAAATAATCTAAATGTTTAGGTCTATGTGGCTGTGGGTCCCGAATTCATTAAGCACCTTGTAATATTCTTTCCCCATAGCCACGGGAAGAAAGCAATTCCTAGAAAACTTGGACTTTTTAAAGTTTTTTATTTCTCAACTACATATCCTCTACTTATATATGTTTTTCCCATACATCTTTTAAAAAAATGGGTTTGGGGCTCATGTTGGGAGCACCCAATTGCTTTAGCAGTGTAAGAAAAATCCCTTATCTCTACTTCAGCCAAGTTTGTTTTGCTCTCCTGCAGATAAGTTCTTGAAGGCGCTGAAAGATGAAAAATTACAAGGACTGAAGACCAGGCAGCCTGGAAAGAAGTCAGCCTCTCTCTCCTGAGGCGCTGCCCACCAGAACCTGGGCAGCCACCTCCTTAGGTGTTAGTGCTTAGATAATGTGTCCTGTTAGTTGTCATTTCAAAATCGTTATTTTCTGTTCTGTATTTACTGCTGTTCTTATTGCTCCCAGCATGTACTCCACATACAGTGCTCACTTAAGTGGTAAATCTCATGGTGTCTCTCCTCTCTGTGCTGTTGCTGGGGGAACTTTCTCACAGGGTCTGGAAGCTGCTGCCCCGCCAGCAGTCAGGGGTCCCTAAGGCTAGGGGAGGGCACTCCCTGCACTGCCAAGTCAGGAGGGAATTGGGGAAAACCAAGGGCAATATATATTTGGCTCCGTTGCTGTGGCCCAAGCTCAGCAAGGCTCTTGAAGGACTGGAATAGTGGGTTTGTTTTCCAACAGCTTTAGTCCTTAGAAGTGTTTTGGTTTATGGACCACAAAGCTACTGGATAATCTGATCAAAGCCATGGTCCTTCCTAGAAATTAATACATTCAAGAAGTAGTTGAGAGCTTATTCTGTACCAGGCACCCTCGTGGGCTTTTGTGATTGGAGGTGGGGGAGACACAGATAATATTATATAGCCCTGGCCGGTTTGGCTCAGCGGTTAGAGCGTCGGCCTGCGGTCCGGAGAGACCCGGGTTCGGTTCCCGCTAAGGGCATGTACCTCGGTTGCAGTTAGTCCCCGGCCCTGGTTGGTCGTGCGGGTGGCAGCCACTCGATGTGTCCGTTTCACATCGATGTTTCCCTCTATCTCTCTCTTTCGCTCTCTCCCTCCCACTCTATCTGTGCAAAAAAATGGAAAAATGTCCTCGGGTGAGGATTAAAAACAAACAAACAAAAAACCAGATAATATTATAAAGAGATAAATCATAATATGGTATCATAGACAATAACATAGTAAGGGGGGAAAGAGAGTAGGGTAAGGGTGGTCAGGAGGGTCAGAGGAAAGCAGGGTGGAATTTCAAATATGATTTCTTCAAAAGGTAATATTTAAACAAGGCTCAAAGGTGATTGAGGGTGATAGCCATGTGGCATCCTGGGAATGTTCCGGCAGAAGGACCGATGCAAAGGCTGAAAGTACGAGCATGCTGGGGTGTTTGAGAGTCTGCAAAAAGCCCGGATGGCAGGAGCAGGAGTGAGAGGACAGTGGGAGGGACGCTTGCAGAGAGGGTTCATTCACGTGGGGCCTCACAGTAAGGAACCCACGGTAAGGACTCTGGGTTCTACTCCACGTGGAATGGAGAGTGTTAGAGGGTTTTCAGCCAGTGAGTGACAGAATCTGACTGTGCTGCTGGGTTGTGAATAGACTAAGGAAGGAAACAGGGAGAGCAGTTACGAGGCTGCAGTCATGAAAAATCCAGCTGAGCAAGAAGTGACGGTGCAGCCCCTTCTGCCCTTTCCCCTCGCTTGGTGAGAGGTGTCTACGGGGCACCTGCTGCCACCCCCACCCCACCCCCACTGCCAGGTGCTGTCTGTAGAAGGAGGTAGGGGGTGGGAGGAGTGAGATCTCAGTGACAAGCACACAAAGAAAAAAGTATGTTATGAAACAAATCTTCAGTCAAGTAAAACATTTTGATGCTTGGCATCTAGACGCCCTTGGGCCTTCACTCTGCCAGCAGCAACTGTAGATCATAGCCCCAGAATTTGTGAAGTTCGGGCTTCTTGCAAAAGGAGAATGAAAAGGAGTGGCCGGTGACTCAGGTGTCTTAGAAGCCAGGTGAAGCGGTGTTTAGGAGGAGGTGGCAGAGGGACGGTAGAGGTCACAGCCTGTAGCGGGAGGAGTGAATTCCCTCCTCCCCAGTGGCTGTTTTGCCCAGGATGGAATATGAAAGCTGCTAGGGCTGACAGCCAGCTATTTATACCATTCCACGACCTTTCAGCACAGTCTGTTACTCTGAGAAATACCAGTTTCAGGTCTGACGGGAAAACCTCCAACTACTTTATCTAAGTAATCTTTGTCCCATTCCGTGGCCAGAGGAGTCAGGCAGGATCCAGTGCCAGCAGGGGCCTGGCTTCCTGGAGAGCAAGGCAGGGCGCTGAGCGAAGCTTTCTGTGTCCCTGGAAGTAAACACCACATGGGTGGCTCACGGAATATCACCCTTGTCCTTTCAATAGTGTCTTGATTTTGTAACCAACTAGATATGTGACCTCAGGAAACTTACCCCACCCCTCTGAGCCTGTTTCCTCATCTGACTGCTCTCACAGGATGGTTGGATGGGGCACAACAAAGTGAGAGATGTGAAACTTGCCCCAGCTGGGAGTCATTATTTTCCAGTTTGTTTATGACAACTCCCCTCCCCCACCACTGTTGAGCTACTGGTACATGGAGGGAGGATAGGATATGAGCTGGAGGGAGGCCCAATCTGCAGGGCAGGAGATGCCTTGGATTTGCAGAGCCCAAGAGTGATAAGGGGGTCAGCTGGCTGGGAGGCAGTCTGACTCTTTTCTAGAGAGAGCCAAACACACTTCTCCCAGGCAGCAGCCTATCGCTCTTATCAGCCAGGTAAGGCCAAGGGCTCGGCCTCTCTGTAGGTGATGCCCCAAAGAGAGGACTTTAGTTATCACCCATCTGCACCAGAGCATCAGCACGTCCAAGAAGGTATCTGTGCATTGATGGAGGGAAAGTGACCAGAGAGAAGTCCAGAAAATGCATCAGTGACACAGAGCTGGGACATCACCTACTCTAGGGGCTTTTTTGGTTAGAGGAAAAAGAAGGCCACTCAAACCAGCTTAGTTAAATAACAAGAGTGGCTGACAGTAGGGGTGTCTGTCTACAGGCAATAGAAACTGATGAAAGAGGAACAAAGAGGCCTCCAGGCCTTTAGGAGGAAAGGAAGGAGATGCTGCCGCCAGACAACTCAGCTCCAACCAGCATTCCTTGGAGAGGAAATGTGACTGGGCTACATGTCCCTGTGTGTCCCTGTTGGGGACGGGTGGACAGGGTGCTGTGATTGCAGCCCCACCAGAAGCACTTGGGGTGCCGGAGCAGCTACGGACAAAGATACCACATGTCCCCTCATGGGACTCATACCAATTGACACCAGGGCCCAGAAACCACCAGGAGCTGGAGGAAGCTGCCCTCGATCTCCTCCTGGATCCAGAGACCTATAGCACCTGCCACCCTTTCCTGCTTTTCCCATTCAGCTTCCTCATAATTTAACTACAAAGTAACTCATGGGAGCCACATTCATTTTCCACCGCAAACTCTTTCCTCGTTCCAGTTCCTAACAGATAAACAGAGTGACTCACCAGCTGCCTTCCAGCTAGGTTACAGGTCAGGGGAGGGGAGAGCCGGAGCAGGAAAGTCCCATCATCAGCTGATGGTTCAGCGGGGGTCTGAGGGATGATTCTTGATTCTTCTGGAAGGAGGGGAAAAGATTAGCTATCCCACCTATCCATTCACAAACTCACCCAGGATTATTAATCTCATCTCAGAGTTTATTTGAATGTAGCACAAACATTGTGTAATTGAAAACAGGGCACATAAATTAAGCCTGCCTTCATGTGCTCACTTGTTCGTTCATTATTCATCCAATTGTTTTTTCAGTAAAGCTGGTTCTAAACTTCTCTGAGCCCTTTCACTCATCTGGAAATACGCTGCTAACACCCCCTGCCTGGGGCGTTGTGAATGAACAGATAGTGTGTGTCAACTGCTTAGCTCACCACCTGACACACAGCCCCTGCTCACCATCATTTTGCCTCTTAGGGTTTGCTGGGCAAATTTTCATCAAGGTTCCTGGTCATTAATACAAGATCCTCCTGTTTCTCTCCTGATGGAACCCACGAGGTGGCAGCATGGATTTAGAAGTGGTATGACACCGCCTTTTCCCTTCCTAGACCTCTCACATCCATGGCTGACATTATCAGCTTGTTCGTTATCATCTAGGAGAAAATCCAGTTGAGAAATCATTTGGGAGGAGGAGACGCTGCAGCCGTTAAAGGCATTTGTTGCGAAGATAAACACAGGTGCGGCCCCGCCCCTCCCAGAGGCTGCAGGTGGCTGCTCCTGCAGAGCCACGTTCTACTTGCGCGAGGAAAGTCTCATTTCAGAACCAACGTCAAGATGAAAAGTCCAATTCCCGCAAGTAAAATGAGCAGATTGAACCCATTAATATGCTATGTGTATTGGCAAGCCCAGGCTTCTGTAACAAAACCACAGGCTGGGTGGCTTAAACGACAGACATTTATTTCTCACAGTTGTGGAGGCGGGGAGTCCAAGATCCAGGCGCTGGCCGGTCCAGGGCCTGGTGAGGGCGGTCTTCCTGGCGTGCAGAAAACTGCCTGCCTGCTGCCGCCTCACACCGCAGAGGCTTTGTCTTCTTATAAGGACACTAATCCCATCGTGAGGGCCCCGCCCCCATGACCTCATCTAGACCTAATCACCCCAAATCCCAACACAGTGGGGATTAAGACTTCAACATGAATTTGAAGGCGGAGATGGGGAGACACAATTGGGTCCATAGAATTACTTAGTGTGTTCCTAGTTATTCCTCCCTTTTCTGTTATGTTTCTACTGAGTTCCTATTATTCACATATTGGTAGGAAACATATATAGATCTAGTCGTGCACCACACAACAGTGTTTCAGTCGATGACGGACCACATATACTACAGTGGTCCCATAAGATTACAATGGAGCTGAATTTCCTGTAAGAAGTAGAAGGTTATGTGGTTCAGGGGTGATTTGTTTTTCCTCTGATGGGAGCAATATCTCTAGGGCTTGGTAACAGATTCCCTCTCACTCACGGCACCTCGATTTCGGGTGCACAGATCACATCCCAGTCAGTCAGCCCTGGGCCTGTTAGAGCACAGAGGGGGTCATCCCCCCATGGCTACATAGTCATAGGGCGCTACAGCCCTCCCGAGTCTAGCTTGACGGTCCTCAGAGAACACTGCTGTGGGTCTCCGTCGAGGACCTGAGATCCTGCACAAGGACGCAGATCCAGAGGCGCTCCCCTAGCCAGTACTGAGTGTCACCACCCAGTGAAAGCTTTCGGTGGCAGTGTGGAGCCAGCCTGTCCTAGACTTCGGAAATATCTTCAGATCGTAACGACGTGAAGCATAGATACGTTTTATTTCTTCCATCAGTTCAATGCCAGAGCAGGCCCTTTGCGTCAGATAGGACAGTGGAACTAAAACCAAATTTCCAAAGTCAAAATACTGAGTCCTCAGTTCTATACCCTTTACATGTTAAAAGCCTTCTTTTTTATGAATACCACAAAATTCCTTAATCTGATCGGTGCTCCAACATGCCATAGTCAAAACCACATTGCCATGGCAATCCTGTGT